TGGCCTCACTACTAGGAGCAAGGACGCTACTAGGGGCTCCTGGCCTCACTACAACACCATCCAAAAAGACCTAGACTGCATTGCAAAAATGACACGCAGGACCTTCCGAAGGAACCAGACAAAAAACAGAAAACGACATGTCACCTCACCGCAGTGCGCGACGCCTTCGACTCAGGCAAAGAGCAAATCCAGCAAGAAAGCCGCGGCCACAAGGCCAGCCTTGACAAGCACTTCCTTCTTTGTGCGTGAAAAGTTTCAAAGTGACTTGATGTTTGCAGAGGGTGAAGTGAAACAAAAGACTGAGACTTGGCAAGGTCAGTGTGAAGAATCATGTGCTACGAGACTTGTCAATACTGATGCCTAGCACAGGGAAGGTCTTGAATCCAACAGTCCTGTTTGGTTTTATGTTGCGGTGAGTCATGGAAGTGCCATCTTTGAGGACTGTAAAACCAGAAAAAATGCTAGTGAGACCAATTGGAAGGTGGACTCGAAGACTGAACATCATCCATCATCCATCCAAGAAATGACAAGACCATCATCGTCCCGTCCATCGACCTTTGCTTGAAAAACGGACGCAAACTCGGAAGAAACAGCGACGCCCAGCCTCGGAAAGTCGAAAAAAACGATTTTTCTGCCTCCGAAACGGGGGCAGCACAGCCTTCAGCATGACCATCATGACCCTTTTGTAGAAAAACACAGAAAGTAGACGGGCAAAATCCTTTGACTCAAACTCTGTGCTAATCCACCACTTTTCTTCGGCTCTTCGAGCCACCCTGAGCGTGCCCTCATACTGGCTCTGAGCTGCCCGGCCAGCACCTGCCACCAGAAGTGTCTTCGATCCTCAGCGCCGTTTCTTCGAGAGTTCAACTGGACAGGGTCCACGGACCGTGAAGATGGTGGGATTCTCATGGCCTTGGACCTCCCTTGGACTTTCAGAAGAATAGTATCAAGACGGATGCGGCACAACGAGGGACCAGAAAAGAGAGAGAGAGAGAGATAGAGAGAGTGTGTGTGTGTGTGTGTCAAACCCTGTTTCTATGGTGGTTTTCACGCTATTCCCCCAAACCTCCCCCCCGCAAAGTTGCTGCTGAGCCACTTGTTAAACAATTGTTAAACATTCCAAGTGCGGACTCCTTCACCGTGCCGTTCCTTCATCCCTTTCACTGTGGACTATGATACTGGATAAACCTGTGACTGAGTGTGTATCGCTGTGCTTTCCCACTTGGGTGCGCAGTGCGATCCCCGCAAGGGGCGCCGAAACCACCGTGTATCACAAATTGACTTTGCGTTTTTGAGCTGTGGGATTCTGATATTGGATTGGACTGTCTCACCCGTGAATCAACTGAACCATATGCCGCCGGGCTCATGGAATAAATGCCGCCGGGCTTATGGAGAATGAACCCCCACCCCCACCCCCTCCCCTCTTTCCTTCTTGCGGTTTTCTTCGTTTGTTAGGTGTTTCTTCAGGCTTGTTAGGTTGTTCTTGAGGCTCGTTTCCCCGCCCCCCGTTTTCGCTTTACTTCTAGTTCTAATTCGGATAACAGAAGGAAATGGTACTCGACACACTTGCACGTCGGTACCTTTCCTTCTGTTGTCCCTTTTCTAGTCTACTCTACCCGGGCGGTTTAAGACAAAAGCCCCGCTCCCTAACCATTGCACATAATTCACAACCGCTAAGTACTCGGTAACAGTTTTACCTTTTTAACTACACCTACCTTTCTCTCTTGCCCTCTTCGTTTTCTCTTTCTGTCTTTCTTTCCTTCCTAAGGCTTGTTAGGCGCCTATTCAGGTTTTGACTCCGTAATTTGCCGTTCGTTCGGCAGACATGCATGGCCTTACACCTATCTTTCTTTCTTCCTCTTTTCCTCTAGCTCTTTCTGTCTTTCTTTCTTTCCTTTCTACGGCTTGTTAGGTGGCTATTCAGGTTTTAACTCGGTAGTTTGCCGTTCGTTCGGCAGACATGCATGGCATACACCGACCTCTCTTTCTTGCCCTTTTCCTTTTGCTTGTTCTTTTCTTTTTCCGTTCTTTTTCTAAGGCTTGTTAGGTAGCTATTCAGGTTTCTGCTGGCGTCCGCACCGATTCTGGTTTCTGCCGGCGTGCGCACCGCCGGTGCGAGGGAGCGCCGCGAAGCGGCCACATGTGTGTGTGTGTGTGTGCGTGTGTGTGTGTGTGTGCGTGTGCGTGCGTGTGTCAAACCCTGTTTCTAAGGGCTGTTCATGTGCAGGGGGGCCATCCCTCTCACCATTGGTGGATGGCCACAGAAGAGGCCACTGGTGAGGGCTGTAAACGTACCTGCGCAAACACATCGACTCCAATGGTTCTCCCTCCACGGTTTCGTTGTTTTCATGGTGGTTGTCATGCTATTCCCCTAAACCTCCCCACGCAGAGTTGCTGCTGAGCCGCTTGTTAAACAATTGTTAAACATTCCAAGTGCACTGACTCCTTCACCGCGCCGTTCCCTCGCCTGAACCTGGGACTAAGTCTGTGTGGGTGTGAAACCCTTGGAATCATAGGGCTTCCATTGAAGTTTCTTTTTTTTAGCAGGGGGCAGCAGGAAGTCCACAGTTCTGCCGCCAACGAAGACAGCTGTGGATACTCCGTGAAGCAGATTTGGACGCCAATCTGTGCACCTGCAACTTCACAGGTGTGATGTTCGGTAATCACTTTCTCCTCTAGCTGATCGGGCTGCTTAGGTTTCTCTCAGGTCGGCAGATATGCACGAACGCCGCGTTTCGTTTTTCGGGACTTGAAGACCTTTGGAGGCCTTGAGATTTTGCATTCTTTCGTGACTTTAACGTACCCCAACCTTTAGGCAGTCATACCTAGGTGGGCGTGTGGCGTGAGGCATTCAGTTCCGTATGCATTTGTGTCAGTACGCAATTATTATCTCGAGTGTGTCTAGCTTCACACCAGCCCAGGGTGTACCCGAGGAGTGTCCCTGTGGCCCCGTTGAACGGGGGTTTGTCTATGTTTCCATTGTTCGGAAACGGAGTAGCTCACAGCGAGCTTCGGAGGCTTAAGCCAAAGTTATTTGCTAAGATCAGATGAATTATTGCATACGAGTAGGCAGCCTTCGGGCACGCCATAAGGTGACCAAAGCGGTCAAAGCTGCCAGCCGGCGCGAGGTGGCCGCAGCGTCTCTCAAGGCTGACTGGGGCCTGTTTTAGCCTTAGGTGCACACACAGCGTGTACCTTTGGAGAGGCAAGGTCTGCCTCGGTCTTCTCTAATGAGGTCTGGCTTCGTTGGTTTCCACCCCTCCATTTCGTTTCCCCTTAAATTCCTTGCCCTTCACACACATCTTCTTTCCGTTTTCTCTTCATGTCCTTCTGCCTTCATGTTCCATCATCGCACTCCGTTCCTTCTTTTGCGCACACAACGGCCCGGCCCTTAACATGTACGTGCACAGCTTGCCTTCAACCCAGGTTTCAGGGCGCCCAGGCTTTGACAATGAGGTCTGGTTCATGGTTGTCCCTGTGCATTTGGTTTCCCCTTCATCACAACTTATTGTCTTGTCTCCTCATGTCTTCATCCTTATGTCTTCTTTGCGCGCACACATGCACATTTGTTCGCCCACAAGTTTTTGGGCCCCTCACCTGGGGGGCGCGTGTGTGTGTGTGTGTGTGTGTGTCAACACCTGTTCTGAAGGATTTCACACCTATTTTCATGACAGCTTTAGTCGGACTGTCCTTTGGCACCACCTTATCGGATTTCCCTTCAATGCAGCAGGGGGATGCCGGGGATTTCCATGGTCGGCATCCAACGAAGACACCATGGACTTCCTGTGATATGAGTCAGGGACGCCTGACTCACGTACCTGCCCTTTCAATTGTTAAAACTGTCCACTGCCGAGTCGCACCTGTTGTGAGCAAAAAACTTGTTAAAACACCTTCAAGTCTGCCGACCTTTTCACCTTTCTGTTCTGCAGTTTTCGGTTCCATCGAGTCAAGGTCTAATGCGTGTAAAGTGGGACTTCATACTGATCCTAGCTCTTGCGAGCAACAATCTAAGCGTGTGTGTGTGTGTGAAACCCTTGGAGTCACAGGGAATCAGTTGAATTTTTGCAGGGGGATGGAGAGGACGTATGAGGCTCCATCCAACCAAGCTCCTCATCATCAGGGACGCCTGACCCCTGCTTCGTGATGACTTCTCATTTCCCACTGGGCCCCGTTCATAACTAGAACAAGCTGACCAGCCTCTGCATCGGTTCTGCACTCGGCAGTCATGCGTGTCATGCATCTTTCTTCTTGTACTTTGACTTGGAAGCCTCATGGAGGTCACATGCTACTTTCAGGTTTCAATGTTACCTGGACCCTTAGGCTTTTTACTTGAGCTGGCGTGTGGCAAGCCGCAATGGTGTCAGTACGCATTATCTCGAATGTATGTGTGTGTGTGTTCGTGTGTAACCATTGGAAACAGAGGGAGTCTTTTGACTTTCAATTCAAATTTATCTTGCAAGGGGACTGCCTGACTCGTAACAGTGGGAAGTCCTACGAAGAGGCTGTTCTGAGTCCCTGATATAAATTCGGACCCGGGATGGGATGGGATGGGATGGTGCCGGCTAGTCTTTGGGCGAGTCTTCGACTAGCCCAACTCACCTGAAAAAGAAAACTGCAAGAAGACGAAGAAGATTCGGCTCAAACAACCTGATTCAGGGACCCACCGACCCGGGGACTTGCAGGGACTCGGAACCCGCAGGTTCGATGTCTCGACTGGCTTGCCTCATTGAGATTTCGACGGTACCAGTGGTACATTCCAAGAACGATTTTGGTGCCATAGCCATACTAGGCCCGGGGGAGACCCCCCAAACCTCACGGGTGACAAAACAACTTGATCACCAATCCAATGGTTGGGGGGTCTCTCCCCACACCTGTGTAGTTCGTTCGACAATGCTTCGTTCATGAGAGGACTTGTTAGGATCCTCCGTCATCCGTCTCCGGGTGTCGAGGGTCCATGACACTGAACCTAGTTGTAATACGTGACCAGCATTCCCACAACCCTATTTGTACTTAAGCAAGGATAAACGTGATAATTTTTTGCAGCGGAGCGACCGATTCCAAGATGAAGATGAAGAGGCAGGGCGATGTGACCGCCTCGTGATGAAAAGGCACGGTGCCAACATGTTGGCCACATCCCATGCTCTGGCCAACGCCTAAACCCCATATGACATAGCGGGGCGAGGGATCAAAAAAAAATAAAAATGCATCAAAAAACAAATATAATTCAGGGTATCAAGAAAAAAACAAAAATGAATCAATAAAAAAATAAACGGACCCAAACGAGTGGAGGGAAGCGCAATAGTCCAACTCGAAGCAGTGATCAAAAGAAAAACAAAAACGCATCAAAAAAAACAAAAACTAAATCAACCTACACGGATACCTTGGATTGTCCTGTAGGGCCCTTGGGTCGAGACCAACCTATCCACTACAACGGTCGGCCTCTGCCCTCTGTGTTCGGTTCGAAATTGCCAAGAATTCAAAAGATAAGGTGTTTCAGGTTTTGGAGATTCAAGAGGTCACGGTTGAGAACAGGACGCCTACATCTACAAAGATCCAAAGGCCTCGACATCCAGACAGATCTAGTGTAAAGGTGTAGAGTCTAGAGACCCACAAAATCTTGCAGAGGTTCAGATCCAGCTCTTCCAAAATTTTACTGGCGTGCTAGAATGGAATGGCTTTCTGCCCTCTAACCTTTACTACTGTACATTCGGGTGGCTTACAGAAGGGCGGCGCCGCAGCCGCGCACACGGATTCAACTCAACTGCGCACACACATTTATCGGCACTTGTGCCTCATCTGCGCACACACTTGTTAACTCAGCGTGCGCACACCCCACCATGGGGAGTCAAGTGCGCACACAGGCCCTTTCCCGAATGTTGCTGCGTATTCCAAATTTCACCCTGCGTTGCTCACTTGAAAGGGTAGTCAACTTGGAATAGCCACTTCCTTGTCTATTTTTGTTACTCTCCAGTGGCTCACCAAGGGGTGAGTCAACTTGGAATGAGCACTTCCTTCTCTAAATTTTGCCCCTGCATTGCCCACAAAGGGTGAGTCAAGTTGAAATGGCAACATCCTTCTCTAAATTTTACCCTCGGGCGGCTCACCAAAGGGTGAGTCAACTTGGAAGGGCAACATCCTTCTCTA